CTGGAGAGGTGGCTCAGCAGTTAAAAGCACTGGCTGCTCTTGCAGAGGACCTGGGTTCAATTTCTAGCACCCACATGGTGGCTAATGACTGTCCATAACTCCAGTTCCAGGGGAATCTGATGCTCTTCTCTGACTCTGTGGGCATTGGACAACACAGGTGCATTTACATACATTCAGGGAACACACTCACACACATAAAATAAATAAATAAGACTGCAAAAAACAAAAAAACAGAAAACCCCATGAAAACTCCCAAACCTTTTATGACTGCCATTCTGACTGGGTGAGATGGACTCCCAATGTAGTCTTATTTTTGTTTATTTTTAAATATTTAAGTGTGTGTGAACACACATTTGAGCATATGCACACGTGTGTGTGGATACCCTTGGAGGCCAGAAGAGAGCTTTGGATCTCCTGGAGCCAGAATTACAGGTGTTTGTGAGCTGCCATAGGTGATGGGGTCCAAACTTCCAGCCCTCACGACGGAGCAGTGAGTGCTCCTGACCACCGAGCCAGCTCTTCATTTCTCAGTGTAGTTTTTTTAAATTTAAAATAGTTTATTTTTAATTTAAAGAAATATTTTATTGTTTTTATTTTCTGTGTATTGACAGCATGTGTGTGAGTGCACCCATGTCATGCAATGCCTGTGGAGGTCAGAAGAGGGCATCAGATCCTCTGGAACTAGAGTTAAGGATGGTTGTTAGTCGCCATGGGGGTGCTGGAAACTGAATCTGGGTCCTCTCTAAGAGTAGCCAGTGCTCTTAACTGTTGAGCCTCTCTCCAGCCCTCTCAATGTAGTTTTAATCTGCATTTTTCTGAAGGTAGAACTGTTTTTCATGTGTTTATTACCCATTTTGTAACTAATCTGAGAACTGTCTGTTCATTTGTCCATTCATTGATCAGACTGATTTCTGTTAGTTTTTCAGTTTTAAAACTGGTTATTTTATTTTACGAGGGTGTTTTGCCTGCATGTGTGTAAGCCACCCACACATCCAACATCTGAGGAGGCCTGATGAGGGCATGGGAACTGCAGCTGTGGATGGCTGTCAGCTGCCACATAGGTGCCGGGAACTGAACCCAGGTCTTCTGCAAGAACAGTCAATGTTCTTAAGGCTGAGTCATCTCTCCAGCCCTGAGTTTTCGATTTCTTTATATATCCTGGGTATTAACACTGTCCCAGGTACAGTTAAAAGACTGTCTTGCATTCTGTAGCTGTCACTGAACCTGACTGCTTCCCATGCTGTGTGGAAGCTCATTGACTTCATGAAACTCCATACTGCTTTAGGACTGTAAACTAGTGTGGCCACTGTGGAGGTCAGTAGGGAGGTTCATCAAAAAAATAAAAACAGGGGCTGTAAAGTTCAGTGGTTAAGAGCACTGGCTGCTCTTGCAGAAGACCCGAGTTCAGCTCCCAGCACCCACATGGCGGCTAACAACTGTCCTAAACTCCAGTTCCAGGGGATCTGCCACCCTCATCTGGCCTCTGTGGGTATTACATGCACATGGTGCGCTTACATACATGCAGGTAAAATACACACATAAAATAAAGATAAACATTAAAAATAAACCCACTAAAAACACCCAGCTACAGCACTCCTGGGTACTTACTCAAAGGATTCCAAGTCAGCTATCACAGACACACCTGCATATATCTACATTCACCGAAGTGCTAGTCACAATAGCTAAGTTCTGGAACCAATCCAAAGTGTCCAACAGCAGAGGAATGGATAGATGAAATGTGGCATACGTACACAACAGAACCAAATTATTAACCAGGGAAAAGCAAGGGATGGTGGGGGACAGGAATATGCCTGAAGGACATTATGTGTTTGTATGGAGATATCCTCACAAAAGTCAGTACCATGTGCAATGAAAATACTCCAGTTAAAAAGAAAACTTAGAAGAAAAAGTGGCTCTCTAGTTTTAGAGCCAAACAACCATGCGTTTTATATGTGGCGTAGTACTTACTCCTTTTTTTGCTTGACTTGGTTTCTTTTTTATGATAGAGGAAACCTCTGCCAAAAAATAAAAATTAGAGAGTCAGACTGAGAGAAGTCACACACAATTTTTCTATTCTAAGGTGCCTTTGAAATAAGATGCCTTATTAGTCTGTCTTCCGAAACCCCTCGCACCTGTGTATATGTAGGTTGCCAGGGTTCAGTCAGCATAGAGTCTGGGGTTTCTCTACACAGGGCTCGTCCCATTTAATGCTCTCTTCAGGGCAATTTAAAACATATTCTCCTGGGCCAGGAAGATGGCTCAGTAGCTAAAGGTGCTTTCTGCCCAGCCTGACGACCTGAGTTTGACCTGTGGGACCCATATGCCGAAAAGAGAGAACTCCTGCAGTTTGTCCTGTAACCTTCACACACACACTGTGACATGCACCCCACCATAAATAAATAAATAAATAAATAAATAAATAATAAATAAATAAATGTAATGAAACTCTCACACTTTCCTATTGAATTCTACACACACTGTGACATGCACCCCACCATAAATAAATAAATGAATAAATGTAATGAAACTCTTCACACTTTCCTATTGAATTCTATTCACCAAGTTTCTAAGGTGAAAAGGTTGGTCTTCTTAGATTTGGGGCCCTTTCTCTGTGTAACATGGCTTTTAAAAAAAGATTTATTTATTTTAACTTTATGTGTATGAGTGTTTGTGTGTACATGTGTACTATGTGTGTGCAGTATCCTCAGAGACCAGAAGAGAGCACTGGATCCCCTGGAACTGGAGGTATAGGCAGTTGTGAACCATGTGGGTGCTGGGAACTGAACCTGCGTCCTCTGCAAAAGCAAGTGCTCTTAACCTCTGAGCCATCTTTCCAGACCCTGACACAGCTTTTGATGAACCCTCCAACACTCGCTGTCCTGCTCAGGAGAGGCGCAGTCCTGACCCTGTGATTTCTTTGGATCCAGGTCTGCTGCTTGTGGCCTCCTGCCTTGTGTCGCTACCTGAAGCCCTGCTGTCCACAGTCTCGGAAGACCCCACCCCACCCCCACCCACTTCCTGCCCAAGTCCTGCCTGTCTTGGACTCTGGCTATGTTCTGTGATCAGTTTCTGCAGCCTTTATCATTTGCTCTAAAGTGAAGGCTGGGGGGCACCAGTGGGAGCCCAGCAGCCTGTCAACCTTGTCCCTCAGGTCACACCCATGAGCTTCAGAAACACAGTTCCTGGTCCCAACTTTGACAGGTTTTGTTCACTTTGTGCAGCCTTATCAAGTTGCCAAGTTATCTGTGGGACAGGGCAGCTCCCTGGATCTGTGCTAGGTTGCCAGGTCCCAGTCCTGACATGGCTAAGTACTGTTTGTGCCATGATCCCTTCCTCTACTCTAATGCCCTGACAACCAGATGAAGACTGGGCTCTGTCTTTGGTTCTTTCTATTAAATAATAATAATTAAAAAAAACAAAACCCCAACATTCTAATTTTTTTTCTGGTACCAGGGATTGAACCCAGGGCCTCAGGCACACCAGGCAAGTGCTCTACCACTGGAGCTGCATCTCCAGCCCTACACTTTTTGTTATTCTTCCTCCCCATAGCTCTTTCCCTCTTCCTCTTCCTCTCCTTCCCCCTTCCCCCTCCCCTCAGGGTTACCCAGGTCTTGTGCATGTCAGGCAAGTAATCTGCCTTCACCAGGCAGCATGGGGTGCTGGGACCAATCCCAGGGCTTGTATGCTGGGCAAACACTGAGGAATACCACCAGGTCCTTAAAGTCTTTTAAAAATAAAAAGTTAGCCAGGTGTGGTGGCGCACGCCTTTAATCCTAGCACTTGGGAGGCAGAGGCAGGCAGATCTCTGTGAGTTCGAGGCCAGCCAGGTCTACATAGTGAGTTCCAGGACAGCTGGGACTACAGAGATCCTGTCTCAAAAAGACAAAAAAAAAAAAAGAAGAAAGTTGCCGGGCATGGTGGCACACGCCTGTAACCCCAGCACTTAGGAGGCAGAGGCAGGTGGACATCTGTGAGTTTGAGGGCAGCCTGGTCTACACAGTGAGTTCCAGGACAGCTGGGGCTAAAAAGACAAAAAAAAAAAAAAAAAAAAAAAAAAAAAAAAAGAAAGTTAACCCAGCATCGTGTTGTAACTAAAGCAATTGGAGTCTGGGCTGGGCCTCTCATCCTTGACTCACATGTACACTTTATCATCTGGAGACTAAGAAACAGAGAGCATTTGACCATCTCAGCGGCTGTTTCCTTCACACTTTTTTGCCTTTTCACTAAGATCTCAGTAGTAGTACTTTCTAAATTTCAAAAAATTTATATGCTTTTACAGAAAGTTCCTTTCTTTCTTTCAACACTTTCTGAATTTCTGAGTATTTTTCAACCTACAGTTATATATATATATTTTTTTAGAACTGTGTTTTAGGAACCCAGGAAGAATAACATCTTGGGTAGGGGCATAGCTTGGTGGTAGTGCTCTCGTTTAGCATGCATGAAGCTCTAAGTTCCAGCCTAACACACACACACACACACACACACACACACCCCAAAAGGTGAAAATATTTGCGCTGGGAAGAGTACCTAAAACCCCAAGTGGCAGTCGATTGTAACCTTCAGCCCTATTCAGAGGACAACACTGCATTTCAAGTGTCAATCACCCACATGGGACTTTCTTTTTCCATCACTTTGCCTTAGACTCCAATTGCACTTGTCACATAACCTGCCCCTACTCTGAGAAGGCTAATACATGATGAAAGCCACTGAACTATTTAGTTTTTTGGTTTTTTTTTTTTTTTTTTTTTTTTTTTTTTTTTTTTTGTTTTTTTGAGACAGGGCCCCCCTGTACCCCCCCCTGGCCTGGAACTCGCTATGTAGACCAGGCTGGCCTTGAACTCTCAGAGATCCACCAGCCTCTGCCTCCCAAGTGCTGGGAATAAAGGCTGCAACACCACGCCTGGCAGTAGTTATTTTTTTAAGTAATTAATTTTTATTTTATGTGTATGAGTGTTTTGATTGCATGTATGTAAGCATGCCATGTGCATGCAATGCCTGGAGAGGCCAGAAGAAAGTGCCAGATCTCCCAGAACTGGAATTATGGACAGTTGTGAGCTGACATGTGGGTACTGGGAAGCAAACCCAGGTCCTCTGCAAGAGCAGCCAGTGCTCTTAACCACTGAGCCATCTCTCCAATTCCCTGTTTAGTAATTTTTCATCAAAGTGGCTACTTTTCAATTAATACAATACAATGCACATCACCATCAAACTGTAATTCCCTAGAAATGAAACACTCGCTTCGCTTTCAAGTTCAGAACAAGACTGAAATGCTGCGTTCCTGTGTGATCAGGGAAGGTGAGTGTGCTGAGCTCAATCATGGGCCTGTCTCCAGGAGATGTGAGCCAGGCTTTGCAAGGTCTACAGCAACCCACTTCCCACTCATCAGGCAGGCTAATCAGAGCAGCATCTTTGCCTGATAAGATCTTGCTAATGGATTCAGTCAGATGATGCTGTCCTATTCAGAACTGAGACATGGAGGCAGAATGCACAGATGGGATTTGGTTTTCCCTAATGACTCTTATCTCACAAACCAGATACTGGCTGGCAGCATCTTACCTAAATTAGCCTTCCCTGGGGCATTCAGACCCTCCACGCTGGGTCCTTGTTCTGGTCCACCTGCAAGTGTAAAACACTGGTATTAATGCAGAAAATATTCTCATCAAATTTGCTTTTGCCTGTGGAAGAATTCCAGATGCTCAGTCCTGTGTCTCTTCTGGTCCTGTCAAGAGTCACCTTTCTTTTAGCTCCATATTCTTTTCATTTTATGTGTAGGAGTGTTCTGCCTGCACAAATATGTAAGTGCACCCATGCATGCAAATGCCTTCAGAGGCCAGAAGAGGGCCTCAGATTTTTGGAACTGGAGCCGCCATGTGGGTTCTGGGAACCAAAACAGGGTTTTCCACAAGAACAGCCAGTGCTCTTAACCAATGAGCCATCTCTCCAGCCGGATATTATTATTATTATTATTATTATTATTATTATTTTGGTTTTTTTGAGACAGGGTCTCCCTGTAGCCCAAGCTGTCCTGGAACTCACTATGTAGACCAGGCTGGCCTTGAACTTTATAACAGAGATCCGCCTGCCTCTGCCTCCCAAGTGCTGGGGTACAGGCGTGCGCTACCACGCCCAGCCATTATTTTTTTAATTAATTAAATTTAAAAAATTTTTATATGTAGGAATGTTTTGTATGCATATACATATAAGTGTACTATATGCATGTAATGCCAAGGCATCGGGTCCCCTGTAACTAGTGTGGTTGGTTGTTAGCAGCCATGTGGGTGCTGGGAACTGAAGCAGAGTCCTCTGCAAGCACAGCCAGTGTTCTTAACTGTTGAGTCATAGTCTATAATAAGTATATATAAAAGAATATATATACTATTTGTGTGTCTGTGTGTGACGACACATAAGCTGGTACTCTCCCAATGAGCTACATCTCCAGCCATCATTTCAACTTTTTTTAAAATATATTTTATATACTTTAAAAAAATTATTTATTATGTGTTACGCATGTATTGTGTGCATGTATGTAAGTGCACCTGTGTTTTCAATGCCCCCAGAGGTCAAAAGAGGGTAATGCCCACAGAGGTCAGAAGAGGGTGTCAGATTCCTTGGAACTGGAGTTATAGATGGTTGTTAGCCACTATGTGGGTGCTGAGAACCGAACCTGGGTCCTCTGAAAGAGCAGCCAGTGCTCTTAACCTCTGAGCCATCTCTCCAGCACCAAAAATATATTTTATATTTTCAACTGACATAACAATTATACATATTTATGAGATTCAGTGTGATATTTCAACACATGTACACAATCAGATCAAGGTAAGTGTCATATGTCATTTCAACACTTATGATGTCTTTGTATTAGAAGCATCTGAATCCCTCTCTGCTACCTATGAGACAACTCTGACAACCACAGTTATCCCAAGATGCTATAAAACAGAAGCCATTCCTCCTCATCAACTAGCCCCTTGGCCCTGGTAGCCATCCTCTCCACAGCTCCTTCCCTGTCCTAAAAGATCTGATTTAAAAGTTCAGTAAGAGCTGGGTATGCTGGTGTTCTCTTGTAATCCCAGCACTCAGGAGGCAGATACAGGAAGATCAGAAGTTCAAGGTCATCCTCAGCTACATAGCAAGTTTAAGGCCAGCCCAACCACATGACCTTGTCTCAAAAAAAAAAAAAAAAAAAAAGTCCATTAAAATCGAAGTGTATTTTTTATTTATTTTTTTGTCTTTTTGAGACAGGGTCTCCCTGTAACCCCAGCTATCCTGGAACTATGTAGACCAGGCTGGCCTTGAACTCACAGAGATCCGCCTGCCTCTGCCTCCCGAGTGCTGGGATTAAAGGCACGCACCACCATGCCCGGCTTGAAGTATATTTTTTATATGATGGTTTTGTTTGAAACAGGGTCTCACTATGTAGCCCCAGCTGGCCTGGAACTGGCTATGTAGACCAAGCTGGCCTTGAACTCAAGAAATCCACCTACCTCTGCCTCCTGAGTGCTGGGATTAAAGACATGAGCCACCACACCTGGCTCAAAAATATGATACGTATTATTTTTATGTGTGAGTGTTCTGTCTGCATGTATGTACTACCACATATGTGCAATGCCTGCAATAGCCAGAACAGGGTGTTGGACCCCCTGGAACTGGAGTTATGGACCAGTGTTAGTCACCATGTGGGTGCTGAGAATTGACCCCTGGTCCTCTGCAAGAGCAGCCATTGCTTTAAGCCACTAAGCCATCTCGCCAGCCCTTTGTAGTCTTGTTACTTTGAAAGGTTGCACCTGTGAAGAAGATGCAGGTCTCCTTAGCAGCAGAACAAAGGGCAGGCACAGGTGGGAAGGAGCCAGGATGTGACAGGGGCCTCTCAGGGAGGGCCTCTCTGCTGAGTGGAGGTCACAAAAATGAAATCTGCTCAGTCACTCAGGTTTCTGGTTGTGAAAAAAATGGGGTCATCTGGACTTGGTTGTCACACTATCTCCCACGCCTGTGGCCTTCAATCTCAAAGGGCCTTTTATGGAATTTGCAACAGTGACAACAGAGGTGGTATCACACTTGCAGAAAGCCCTGGCCCACCCTCCCTGCTGCCACAGGGGAGTCTGGGGTTACTTTTCTCTGTCTGGATAATGGGAAACAGTAAGAATCAGGCAGACTCCTCATCTGAACAAAGCATGTCTCCCAGAGGTCAAAGCTCCCCTCTGCTGGACACAGGTGGCACAATCTGAGGGAGTGGCAGTCTCTAGAACAGGGAGTGCTGTACCATGAGGGAGGCAAAGCACAGGTGCAGCTGAGTCCAAGCAGGTGCTAGGTGCACTGGAGCTGAACTCCAATAAGGAAGCCACCCCATGCCAACTAGGGGAGACTTCCAATCCAACACACAGGGAGCAGCATGGAAGCCAGCAAGATAATGGGGCCGGGGAGGCAGCAGGTTCAACTCCTTCCTGGCAGGCATCTGAAATTACATATGAACATGAACGCCCCACCACCACCAAAAAAATAGGGTTGAAAATCCTGGGGATAAAACAGCCATGCTGGAGCTCCCCAAGAGTACACACAACCTGAAAATGCTCATCATTTGTCTTCCAGAACTTTTCCAGGGGCTGGGGATGTGGCTCAGTGGACAGAGTGCTTGCCAGACATGCACAAAACCCTGGGTTCAATCCTCAGCACTAGATAAACCAGGAGAGGTGGTGCACCGATATAATCCTGGCACTCGGGAGGTAAAAGCAGGATGGTCGTCCAGAATTCAAGGTCATCCTTGCAAGTTTGAGGGCAGCCTGGGCTACATGAGGCCCTATCTCAAAAAAAACCCAATAAATAAAATTCTACAATAAAATCAACAAATTGACTCATCAGGTGCCAAGTACTTATGTGATGGTTTTAAAACAGAACTCTCACTTTCTGATTATAAAAAGTAACATGTATTTATGAAAATTCATACTTCAAAAGTGTGTCAGAGAGAAACAAAAAATCCTCCAAGTTATTTCATTCTCTAGGTAAGAGTTTAGTTGAGTCTTCTAAAACGTCTTCTGAGTATACATGGTTTTGTTTCTTTTCTTTACAAAATGAGACTGACCCTATTTCATGTTTGGTCACCTTTATAATCTGTCATGGATTAACGCAGAGGTTGGTCCCTAACTTCAGTAATTTCATCCTTTACCACTATGGCGTTTCCATGGACCCCACCTTCGTTCTTCTCAGGAGTGGCTTCTGCAGCCCATGGTGTTAAAGGAGGTGGCTGTAGCTGCGCTGCTCTCACTGTGCCACTGACCTGCAGGAAGGTGAGAGATGTCATCATCAGGCAAGAGGACTCATCACCCATAGACAGCACAGGGAGGGTGGCCGAGTGCACAGCCCCCATGAGCACCAGCTTCTGGAACAGCTATCAGAACCTGTCTATGCTTGGTGGTTTGTTTGCTTGAGACAGCTCTCCCTGCAGCCCCATCTGGCCTGGAACTCACTATGTAGACCAGGCTGGCCTCCATCTCACAGAGATCCGCCTGCCTCTGCCTCCTGAGTGCTGGGATTAAAGGTGAGAACTACCACGCCTGGCCTGTGGCTATTTTTACATCTCTGTTTCAGTGCTCAAATGTCTTAACTCCCCGACCCCCCACTTTTTTTGGGGACAGAGTCTCAGACTGGCCTCAAACTTGCTATTGCAGTAAAGAATGACTTTGAACTTCTGACTTTCTGTCCACTTCCCAGTGCCGGGAAGGTAGGCACACACCAGCACGCCTGGTTCACGTAGTGCTGGGGACCCAACCAGGGCTTCATGCATGCTAGGCAAGCACTCTACGAACCAAGTTACGACCCCAGCTCCCCTCCTATTTTAAAATAATTTGGGGGAGATAATTTCAGATTTACACATAAACTGTACAGGTGGTGCAGTGTGTCTATGTACCCACTTCCTCTGACATTAACATACCACAGCATGCCTGTCAAATCTAGCAGTTTTCCCACCACCATCTCTTCTGCTCCAGGACCCCACGCTACACGCAACACAGAGCGATCCCGCCTCTTCAGTCTGTTTCTGGGTCCCTCCTTGTCTCTTATGACCTTAAAACTTTTGAAGGGCACTAGTCAGGTACTTTGTAGACTGTCCCTCAGTTTGGTTCTCTGAGGAAGTGTTCTCTCCTGGCCTCCTGTCGACAAGACACTGGTGACAGTCCCTTGACCCTTGGTGACATCTGCCAGTTTCTGTCCTTTCCACACTCCAATCTTGGAGTGACATTTTTCCCACAGGTAACCTGGGCTCCTCTATTGGACGATGAGAGTTAGAAACCAAGATCTGGGTGCTGGGTGCTTGTGCTAGGGTATCACTGTCTCTAGGCCTCCCAAAGGCCAGGCAGAGCTGGGTTATACATGTGCTTGGACACAGATACATATTTACCTATAGTTTCCTATCTCTGCATATATGTACGCACACAATAAAGGGATGCACACTAAAATACACCAGAGTTGAGCCCACAGCACCCTGTTCCTGGCTCTCCTTTTGGCCCATCATCCTGTTTCTGCTGTCTCTAGCTACCAGCCATGGCGCTCTGATCCAGTCTGCATCTAGTTCTAGGGTAAACAATAGCCAACACACCACGTGAGATCACATTAGGTCTATTACCTGCCCAGGTTGGCCTCAAGTTTGCTCAACTATGAAGCTCATGTTGCCCTGGAACTCATGATCCTCCCGTCTTAGTCTCCCGAGTGCTAGGATTACAGGTCTGTGTGACCCCACCCGGTTTCTCGTAACTATTGATTACATCAATGACAGTAAATCTGTGCAAATCATAATAGCAAAAAAATCAATATTTGACTTTTTTTTGCATGTGTATAGCATGCATGTGTATGTATTCACGTGTGTGTGAAGGCCAGAGGTTGGTACCAGATGTCCTCTTTGCTTGTTGTCCACTTTGTTTACTGAGCAGGGCCTCTGGCCAGTACCTCACCAGCTTGCCTGAGGGATCCTGTTTCTCCCCCTTGAGCACTGGGACTAGAGGTGGCTTCCACAACTGCCCAGCTTTTACATGGGTGATGGGGATCCAAACTCTGGTACTCAGTTTGCACAGTAAGTGCTTTATCCACTGAGATACCTCCCCAGCCCAACTTAATAACTTCTATGGTTTGGATGACTTTTTATTTTTTAATTTTGTGTTTTCAAGGCAGAGTTTCACTCTGTAGCCCAGGCTGCCCTGGAACTCACCACACTAAAGCTGGCCTCTAACTTGTAGCAGTGCCCTGTCTCAGATTCAGGAGTGTCAGGGTGACAGACATGAGCTGTGAGGCCTGACTACGGTTTGGATCTTAAATACCTTCCAAAGGGTCATGTGTCACTCACTTGGCTCCCTGTCCATGGCACCTACAGCTGGTGGTGGAACCTTTAGGGGGTGGAGTCCAAAGAGAAGTCTCAGGGCCACTGGGATTGCCCTTGAAGGAATCACAGGACTCCAGGCTCCTCTAGCAACAGGCTTGCTCCTCTAAACTCTCTCAACCAGGATATTCTACCCTCAAACAGGCCCAAAAACACTGGGCCAACCAACCTGGCCCGGAACTTCCACAGCTGTGAGTCACAATAAAAAAGGGCTAAACAGCACTTTAGCAAACAGTGACCCTCCCAGCAGGACTAGGAGGAGGCAGAGAGCTGGGAGAACAGGAGGCCCTAAGCCAGAGTGGCAGGTGCTGTTTTAAATTGCCCAGCAGCCTTTTGGATTTTACAGGCCTTACCTTCCTCAGCAAAGTAATGTCAGGAAGATTCATGAAAACACCATGGACTGTTGTCCTTGTTGCTATGCAACCACTACAGACCACTGACTCTGTGCCACGTTCTAGTTTTTACCTGTGTTATTTAATTCTCAGAGTAGCCTTGACAGACACCGTGTACACAGTGGATGGGGCACCGAGATTCAACCCTCCTGAAAACTGTCTTCCATCTGCACGTTCTGGGGTGACTGTGGCACAGCCCTAGAACAATGTCTCAGCTTCCCCGAAGGTGCAGAGGCGACCACATTCCAGCCAGTGGGACAGGGACAGGAGCAGTGAGGGGTGCCACGCTAGACTGTCTGCAAAAGGATAGGTACTTGGTTTCCTGTACATTCATCCTCTTCCCAGGAGCTGTGAAAGGTCTTACACTGGAGCCCCATGCTAGACTCTGAGCGAGAAGCCAAACAGAACAGCACAGGAAGCTGGGGGGTGGCCAATGGCCTGCCCCTGAATGCCATCTGGTTAACTGGTTGTATTTCAGGTTGTTATGACAGCAGCTTAGCGGGCATCTTAACTGAAACATCTCTAATGCACACTTGTTACAAGTTCAGAAGCAGCACACTTTGGAATTACTTGAAAGGCAGAAGAGGACGCTCAGCAGCTAAAACACACACTGTTCATGCAGAATACTCAAGCTGGCTTCACAGAACCCATGTCAGGTGACAAAACCACCTGTAACTCCAGATCCAGGAGATGCAATGCTCACTTCTGGCCTCCGAGGTCGTCTGCACTCACATGCACATACCACACACAGACACACACATACACACAGTCAAGTGAAACAAATCTTTAAAAACGCATGAAGCAGAGTACGTACCTCAGATGTGTGAGAGGTGAAGAAATCCTCCTCCTTTGGAGAAGGGGACACAGGCGGGACCACACAGCTGTCAAGCCACAGCTGGAAGGGAAGGAAAGCAGAGCATAGCAGGGTTTGACTCGACCTACCCTCTCCCCTCTGCAGCCTCCCGCAGACCTGCACCACCACGCCCACCAGGGCTCCTAGCAGCTGTGGAAGGTAGCTCCAGTCAGTTTCCCTTCCTACCCTGAAGAGGTCAAGCACCCCAACTCCCTTTCAGATGTAAGTGCTGGTTCTAAACCACAGTGACCCCCACGGTCCTGGTTTCCACACCCAGGAATCACCCTCCTCACTGAAGCTGCTTGTGACCCCAGATCAGGATTCATGGAGTTTTCACATCCATTCTCAGGTACAGGAAGCAAAAATAAGCCATGTAGAAAGCAGGCTCCCAGCAAAGGGGGAGCAGGTATGCTCCACCCTGCACATCAGGCCTCAGACTCATGGCCACCAGCCCGTCAGCAGTCCCCTCTACAGCCACTTTCTATTCCACTAATGCTTGAATGCTTAAAATGACCCCGAGTGCAGTGTCCAGCAGCTGTCCAGGCTCCTCAGCTCACGAGGGCTGTGAGGAGCCTTCCTGAAAAGACACATGGTATCTCAGTCCTGCTCAGGCCTGAATGTTCCTAAGTTCCCAATACACATTAAATAAGGTTGGCTATTAGCTAATTAATTAGGGGCTAGAGAGATGACTCAGTGGTTAAGAGCATTTTCTGCTCCTGCAGAGACCCCAGGTTTGGTGGTTTGGTTCCCAGCACTCACATGGGGGGGTCACAACCATCTGTAATTCCAGTTCTAGGTGATCTCTTTTGGTCCCCCTGGGTCCCTGCATGCACATGGTACACTTAAGCTCACACAGGTAAACACCCATATACATAAAATAAATAAATAAATCTTGTGTTAAAATCCATTCTTTCTTTTGCAGTTTAAGGACCAAACTCGGGGTCTTTCATATACTAGACAAGCATTCTCTCACTGAGCTAGACCTCAAGCCCCTTAAGTGAGTGAGACTGATTGATTGATTTTATTTATTATTTTTATTTTATGTGTATGCATGTATTGCCTGCATGTAGGTAAGTGCTCCCAAGTGGTGGGATTAAAGGTGTGTGCCACCAGGCTAGCTTGTTTCTTGTTTTTGTTTTTTGAGACAGGGTCTCAAAATGCAGGCTGGCCTTGAACTCTCCATGTAGCCAGGTACCTGGGCTTGAACCTAAGATCCTCCTGCATCTGCCTCTTTTTTTTTGGTCTTTTTGAGACAGGGTCTCCCTGTAGCCCCAGTTGGCTGAACGCACAGAGATTCGCCTGCCTCTTCCTCCTAAGTGAGTGCTTGGATTAAAGACATGAGCTACCACATCTGCCTCTTTGAGTGCTGGGGTTACAGAGGTTAGCCAGCACATCTGGTACTAAAATGAGGCATCTTAATGAGACACACACAGGAGGTAAGGTTATGCATTGATCAATTAATGAAAATGTGACCCAAGGCTGGAAGGAACCTAACCCATAGTGTCTTTAAAAAAAAAAAAATTATTTTTATTTTATGTGTATGAGTGTACTGGCTAAATGTATGTTAAGTGCATCCGTGTCATGCAATGCCTTGTGGAGGTCAGAAGACAGCATCAGATTCCCCTGGAACTGGAGTTTCAGACCATTGTTAGCTGCCATGTAGGTGCTGGGAATCAAACCCAGGTCCTCTGCAAGAGCAGCCAGTGCGCTTAACCTCTGAGTCAACTATCCAACCCTGCTAACCCAGAGTTTCTAGAAGTGATCTTCAGTGTTTGTGTGAATTAACCACAGAACATAATCTTTCAATGAGAACCAACTGTACACTGATTCCTCATAGGAGACCGCAGGTAGGGAGTTTACTGTCTGGGATCAAAACCATTTTTCTACTGAAGGATCTCATCTAAAGGAGACATCAGTTTTCTGGAGACTCACATCAGTGCCGTGCTTCCGGGTGGCCTGGGTGGCCAGAGACTTGACTTTCTCCCTGTAGAGCTGGGCTGCGCGACTGTTGTACTTGGCATTGGTGTCGTTGGTGGCACACCCGTGTTGATGGAAGAAGGAAGACTGCAGAGGAAAGCACACAAATTAACACCACCATCACGTGACACCTGACCTCAGGACGAGAACCACTACTTCACCGAATGATGGGAAAATGAAAACAATTTAGACACCATGAAAGTACTAAAATAAACACGAGTTATAAAAGGGGACTCCCAACCAGGCATGGTGGCACACACCCTTAATCCCAGCACTCACTTGAGAGGCAGAGGCAGGCAGATCTCTGTGAGTTCAAGGTCAGCCTGGTCTACATCATGAGTTTCCAGGCCAGCTGGGGCTGCAGGGAGACCCTGCCTCAAAAAGACAAAAGTAAATAAATAAATAAACAAATAAAATGGGAAGCCCTTCAAATATATAATAACATTTTGAAATTTTTTTACTTATTGGGTGGGGGCGGTATGTGTACAGGTGTGTGGAGGTCAGAGGACAACTTTTGGGAGTTCTTGAATTCAAGTCATCTGGCTTAGCAGCATACCCTTATCCGCTGAGCCATCTCCCCAGCCCCATAATGTTAAAATTTTGATAAAACCAGATACCAGACTAGATATGGGGATGAGAGGGTCAGCACTCACAGTTCCACAAAATCACCTCCATCACCCTGAATGCTGTTTTGAGGACGGTTTCTTCTTGGGACTACTTTTAATTCATGAGCAATTAATTTCAATTTGAATTTTTTAAATTATTTTTTAATATTTTATTTGAGTTTTGTACTTTTTTTTTGGTCTTTTTGAGATAGGGTCTCCCTGTAGCCCCAGCTATCCTGGAATTCAGCATGCAGACCAGGCTGGCCTTGAATTCACAGAGATCTGCCTGCCTCTGCCTCCCGAGTGCTGGGATTAAAGGTGTGCACCACCACACCCAGCTACAAAATATGATTTCTTATACTTAGTTTAACAGCATTCCTAAAAGAATTAACATTCACCCAGTCTATACCATTTGGGCATAAATGAGCTATCAGTGTCTCAAAAGATTTTGCTGGCTAGACTTTTTTTCTTACTCTTTGACGATGCCTCGTGTGTATATAGTGTATTTTTGTCATTTCACCCCACGGCCCTTGTGGTCCTCTCATACCTGCTGAACCACTTCTTCCCAACGTGTTCCCCTCTCTCCCTCCTACTTCCGTCCTTTGGTTGGTTGGTTTGGGTTGACTGTGTGTGAAACCTGAGTTTAATTAGTGTTGTTTGCATGAACATGGGTAGGGGGTTATTTACTGGCGATGGGGCAACTCCATAGCTGCACCACTGAAAAAGAGGACTCTCCCTCCCCTGCTGGCCAGATGTCAAAGGTTTCCAGCCAGGCACTGTAGTCCCCACCTTTCGCCCTGTCTCAAAAAACAAACACAAGGTTTCCAGTCTATTATTTGAGAGAATCAGTTATATTAAATTTGTCAACAAAGTTTAAATATGTGACAATCCTTAATTAAGCTCATAATACAGTAAAGAAAGTTAACTCTTTTATATTGTTAGCCAAACATCTTTAAAAAGTTTCTATTAGGGACTGGAGAGATGGCTCAGCAGTTAAGAGTACTGGCTGCTCTTGCAGAGGACCCAGGTTCCATTCCCGGCACCCACTTGGTGGCTAACAATCATCTGTAACTCCAGTTCCAAGGAAATCCAACGTCTTCTTCTGACCTCCACAGGCATTGCATGACACAGGTGCAATTACATGCATGCAGGCAACACACTCATACACATAAAAATAAAAATAATAAAATATTTTTAAAGTTTCTTTTATATACAAAATGCTAATTTTATAAGTTAATGTGTGACATTTGTCTACTGTATTTGAAGACAGGTTCTTTTACTTATAGATTTAATGAACTAAAAAGTAATGTAAATGCTAGGTGTGGTGGCACGCCTTTAGTTCCTTACTTGGAAGGCAGAGGCAGGTAGATCTCTGAGTTTGAGGCTAGCCTGGTCTACAGAGCGAATTCCAGGCCAGTCGAGGCTACACATTTCATCCTAAGCACAAAGCCACCCTTAAACAGTAAAAGATTTTTTTAACTTATTTTTATTTTAAATGTATGAGTGTTTTGCCAGCTATAGAGTTGCCCCATCGCCAGTAAATAACCCCCAGAGGAGTAGTTCAGGTTCTCTGGAATTGGAGTTATGAACAGTTGTTGGCTGCAATGTGGGGTACTGGGAACCGAACCCAGGTCTTCTGGAGGAGCAGCCAGTGCTCTTAACTGCTGAGGCATCTCTCTCCAGTCCTCCCCCCAAACTCCCTCTTTTTTTTTTTGCTTTTTGAGACAGGGTCCCTGTAGCCCCAGCTGTCCTGGAAACTCACAGAGATCCGTCTGCCTCTGCCTCCCGAGTGCTAGGGTTAAAGGTGAGCGCCACCACGCCCGGATTACTCTCATTTGTCACCGCACCCAGCACGAGGCCCAATGCTTTGCACCTCCCTGGTGTTCAAGAGGCTCTGAACAAGCATCCTGGTGAGCCTGGCTACCGTGCTGTACCTTCTGCTCCACGCCACAGAGCCTCCCAAACACAAAGGAAACGCGTTACGTCAGGAGGGATGGGAGTCTGGGCGGAACTCACAGCGTTGACATTCCCTCCAACTTGCATGCAGCGCAGCTGGAACCAGGACCAGTTAGAATCCAGCTCGGTAGATCTACAGGGAAACAAGATACCCTGTGTTAATTCTTTTCTTCTCCAGAATCTAAGCTTTCAAAACCTTGAGCTTTAGGATTCTAAGGAATTCTGCATAGCCAGGCACGGTGGTGCACACCTGTAAAGCCAGCACTAGGGGGCAGAGGCAGGAGGATTACCAGTTCAACGTGACCCTGTCTCGAAAACCAAGGGCTGGGGATGTAGTTCAGTGGTAGGCACTGATCTTTCTGATTTTTAGATTTATTTCTCTTTCTGTGTGTGTGTGTCTGTCTGTCTGTCTGTCTCTGTGTGTGTGTAACATGTAGGTGCCCCAGTTCAATGACCAGAGACCAAAGGAGGGTGTCAGATCCCCTGGACCTGGAGTTCCAGGCAGTTGTGAGCCACCATGTGGACCAAACTTGGGTACTCTGGAAGAGTAGAAAGCTCTCCTGATTGCTAGGCCATCTCTCCAATCCCCATTAAGCACTGTTCGTAAACTGAGCTGACAGGAATTCCCTTAGTCAGAGCTCTAGATCCCACAAAAGGTTCTAACAATGGCTTTGTCAGTCAGTACTGGCCTCCGATCTAGTTAGTAAATAGAATAAAAGAGGCGATATGAAAAAAAAGAAGAGATATGGAGGTGTTGGTCTGTAGTTTTTTACAGCTAGGGAGGCCAAAGGGGAAGGTAAACCCAAATCAGATAGATAATACAAGGTCCAACCTAGACCAGAGATTTAAAAAACAACTTGAGTTCGAGGCCAGCCTGGTCTACATAGCGAGTTCCAGGCCAGCTGGGGATACAGGGAGACCCTGTCTCAAAAAAATCCAACTTGATTCAGAAGGAACCTTGGGATTGAATGGAGCTTTAGTGGCTTTGCTGAGTCCCTTAGTGGGGCAGAATCTTTACAAAGTAGGAAAGGCTTTGGCAGATCTAAATGAGTTAGACCAGCATGGAAAGGGTGTCCACAGAGTGGTGCAGTGACCTAGAGGAGATGGAAAAGGCAGAGCAGAGGAAGAGGTCTGATTGGTTACTCAAAGGCAAACATGGCAAAATGTGGGTGGAGTCCACGTTCCTAAAGAAAAAAACTGACAAAAAGCCAAATTCTGTGTTAAGAAGCTTCTGGAAGGCTTTAAAGCCTGAGGAACACTTCACAGAAGACATCTATGATGAAACAATGCAGGTACAGAAGATACAAACTGTCCCGGGGTGGATAACGATGCCCTGCATCAAACAGGGTACATTTCCCTCCTACAAGAGGTTATGTGACAGGTGGAGACAGTTTGCTGTCAACCAGGGCCTCCCCCAGCAGCCAGGTGTGGTCAATGGGGAGAGAGCAGGTGCAGCTACATCCACAGGGAAGACCCAGGGCCTATCTGACCCAGTGAACCAACACACACCCCAGGGGCAAGTGCAGCCCAGTTCCTCCTTGGCCCTGTGCAGGGCAGAGCAGCTTGAGCCAGCTCCAACAAGTTCATCAGGGATGGGGAAATGCAGGGAGGCTCCATGTAAGAGCTCCAGGATATGGACATGGAATGGCTCAGAGAGAATGACTAAAGACTGTAAAGAGCTAAGTTAATGTCTCCTCTCCACGGTAGCCAAGAGGGAGGGAGTTAAGGGACAGTGACACCAGTGGACGGAACCTTTCCATGCCGTAAACCGTCTTTGTCTGATTTAGTATCTTCTTAGTTTTGAATTTCTGTGATCACCTGACACTTGCTTGGAACAGAGGACAACAGACTGTGAGCGCTTCACCAAGGTTGGCTCTGTAACCCCACTATTCATTATGGGACGATGGCTCAGGACAACACATTATTTTGTCCAGCCTCTGGAGAAGATGTCATTATATAAGTGACATAATGTTAACCTCTCAGTGTTTTGAAGATTTGTAAACTCATTTGAGAGATATTCAGGCACACCTTAAAGAAGCAAGGATGGGAAATCAGTTCAAAGGGTACAAGAGCCACGTGTAGCTGTGAAATTCTTGGGAGCTTTATGGAGTCACAAGTGATTCCCACTGAGGTGACTGGGAAAAGTCCACAACAGCTGGGTCTGTAGATACTAAAGCGTGAACAAAGGCACCTGTGAAAATGGCTCTCAGAAACTAGACAGCTGCTAAATAAAAATTCCAGTGCCGGAACTGGGTTGCTGCTCCCATGAGCTCTTGGCCAGGGAGACCCCAGAGCCTCCAACATGATAAAGACTATTGTCACCAATGTGGGCTGCATGCCAAAACTAGACGGTTAGGACTATTGCTAAAGATACCGCATAAGAGCACAGGAAAGAGAGGAATCAAGCTAGGACTAAGCCAGCAACTCCCCACTGCTAGATGGCTGGCACTCACAGTGCAATGGCACTATGCAGACGGGTGGGGGAGGACTGTCTCCAACAGTCCTACTTAATGACAGACCCTGTGTGCTGCATTATTGACACGCTGAGCAAGATGTACCTACTGATGCAATAGTGGCATGACCAGTGTATGTCCAACCAACGAATTTCTAAGTGGATTTAAGTCCTGCTCCATGGGGAGGAACACCCATCTGGTACTGCAAGCCAGGCCAACCCAAAGCTATAGGCCACGGTGGGAAAGCCACTGTGGTGGTTTTGTTAGATGGATGCAGTGTACCTGCTACACCTTTGTGTTTACATTCACAGGTTATTACTATAGTCAGTGTCCATTTGATGTTCTTCTGTTTCCTGTTTCTTCCTTTTCATTTCTGTTTTGGGGTAGGAATACCACAGAGACGTGGAAACACGATGAGAGGGTCCAAGGGCTCAATATTTCACTGGAGTAGGAGGACAATCTTCCTACATCTATGCTGCTCCCTCTGAGGCTCAGGAAGTCTTACAGAAGAGGATGGTGGGAAGGGGGATGTAAAGAGCTGGAGGGAGGGGGTGAAGTGTTGTATAGGACTGTCCTCAGACAGACAGCATCTTCCTGAGCTGCTTGCCTAAGAGCTTGTGACTGCTCACGGCCACCACCCCTTTGCCTGGAAGCAGGGGTAGGGAGAGTCACAGGACCCCCATTGGAGAGTCACAGCACTCTCCACTGCTGCACCACGTCTCCAGCCCCTCACTCTTATCTTTTAAGCACATACAACCCTTCATGGCAAACCTGAGCAGAAATGGCTAGAGGGAGCAGCACTGCTGACAACCTGGCTGCCCCCACAAGGGCTGGAGAGCTCCCACCCAGAGGCACCAAGCAGGGCTAGGCAATCCCGGCCACTATGGGGTGCTCACCCCAAAGGACTGTGTCTACTCTGCACCTTAACTTGCCCCTGCCAGTTTGCTGGCCAAAGGCACAGTTTAGAAATTACTGTCCTCTGCCAAAACTGTTATCTTGAAATTCTACCTAAAAAAATAAACTCCACTTATTTAAATATGGCATCCATGCCACACTGTTCAGTGATAGCACATGGGAAACAAGCCTCTGTGTGTGTACACACGCATTTATGTGCCTGTGGCTGGCAAGGGTGAGGGAGAAGGGAAGGGAGGCAGCCTGCAGCAGAGGCTTTCAGGACTCACTTGTGTGCTTTGGGGCTGTTTGGATTTTTCACAAGCTGGTGTTTCTATTTCTCTCTTGAGTGGGGTCTTGCTAGGTTGTTCAAGCTGGTCTTGAACATGTCAGTTCAGGGGATCCTCCTCAGCCTCTCCAGGGCTGGGATTCTTGCATGTGCCACTATGCCAGGCTTATGATGCTGACTGCTTGCTTGTTTTTGTAGCTGGTTTGGGACTAACTATATGGACCAGGCTAGCCTGAAACTCAGCAGTGATCCTCTTGCCTCTGACTCACTTGGAGTGGTTTTTAATCAATAAAAAACATGTAAAGAGTAGCCGAATTCATCCTGGGTAACATTTCTCCCTGGACTTTCTCCTGCCCACATCTGAGGCTACTGCCCTTTGGCATAGTGCTTCTTAATTGTTGGTTTTGAATCATTCATAAGCTTGTGAATCATACAGTTAGATTTATCTGACTTTAAAAGGCCCAAACAGATCCAGCTATCCGGGTTCCTCCAGCTCCAGGCCCACACTCCTTCAGTAAGGAACACAGCAAAAAACTACCTGGCTTCCTGGAACTATGTGCTCAGACACATGCTGCAGACACAAGGAAAAGGGCAAGTCAGGTGATCATGGGGGTGCTCTGAGAAAAGAGAGCAACCAGAACATCACCAAGCAGAGGAGGAGGGGCCAGCCCTGCAGTGCAAAGTCCAGCCTTCCACCCTAGACAGGTGGGGCACCATCTGTGAACAGCTCATGGCCAACATGGAGAAAAACATACTCTGAAAGAAATCTAGATGTGGGAGGGAGGGTAGGGAGCATGGGGCAGGGCAGTGGGCTCATATCTATCTATAATCCAGTTATTTGGAAAGTTAAAGCAGGGGGAGACGTGCCTGGGATACAACACGAGCTCAAGGCCAGCGGGGGCAGCTTAGCAAGGCCTTATCTCAAAAGTGTTTAAAATTTGCAAAAAAAAGGGGTTAGAGAGGTGGCTCAGTGGTTATGAACACTGGCTGCTTTGCAGAGGGCTCAGGCTCAGTTCCCAACACCCACATGGCAGCTAACAACGTTCCATAACTCCTGTTTCAGCAGATCCAACACCCTCTTCTGGCCTCCACGGGCATTGCATGCACATGGATCAGTTATGTACATGCAGGCAAAATCTCAAACACATAAAATAATTTTTTTTTTAATTTCAAAAGAGCTAAGGTTATATAGCTCAGTAGTAGTGTGCTTGTCTAGCATGGTCAAATCCTGGGTTCAAATATATATATAGGCTGGGGGCGGTGATATATACTTTTTATCTCAGCACTTAGGAAACAGGAGGATTTCTGAGTTTGAGGCCAACCTGGTCTACTCTGTGAGTTCCAGGCCAGCCAGGGCTAAAACGAAACCCTGTCTCAAACATTTTAAAAAGGAGAAAGATGGTTTCCAAGGAGAGTTACAATTTTACAAGAAGAAAAGAATTAAGAAGAAGATGGGTGGTGGTGATGGCCATAGGTCAAGATGTTTAACAACCCTGAGCTGTACACACAAGAAGGTGAATTAAATGTCTAAATGTCTCTGTGCTTGTATATCTTACCACAATAATAAAAAAATGGAATAAGTTCATTTGCCTGGCAACTAAATCTTTCAACATTAAAAAGAAAAAGAAGTCAGCCAGGCATGGTGGCACACGCCTTTAATCCCAGCACTTGGGAGGAAGAGGCAGGCAGATCTCTGTGAGTTCAAGGCCAGCCTGGTCTACATAGTGAGTTCCAGGACAGCTGGGGCTACAGGGAGACCCTGTCTCAAAAAGACCAAAAACAGAAAATTATTGTAATTACTGCCATATAGTTTTAGCGCTGTCACACAAAGGTCTCATTACAGACTTTATCCTATAGGAACAAACACTCCTTTACGGTCATCACAAAATTTAAATTGCTCGTCACACTTCCCAACAGCCTGCCAACCAGCTTCCTTTCCTGGAAAAGGAAGGGGGCAGGTAAAGTGGCCAGCTGCTGAAGGAAGTGGCACCACCGGAGGCTGTGACACTGCAGATGGTGCCCTGGCAAGGGCTGGAGGCTGCTGACGTGCAGACCTTGCTAGGCCTCCAAGTCCTGAGCCTGATGGGTCCTTGATTTACTTACTATTTCAATTCAGTTCACAGAAGGCACTTCCATCCTGCCCCCCATGGTGCTGTCTGTCCAGAGGGGGCACCTTTCTCTGATGCCCACAGAGGCCCGGAAGTCTACCGCCACAGTGTTAGAAGTGGAAGGTAATTTACTCACCAGAGGAGCCCATGTAGCCAAAGTCTGGGCCTGGTGGCACACACCTTTAATCCCTGCACTTGGGAGGAGAGGCAGGCAGATCTCTGTGAGTTTGATGTCAGCCTGGACTACATAGTGCATTCCAGGACAGCTGGGGAGACCCTGTAGGAAAAAGACCAAAAAACAAAACAAAACAAAACAAAACAAAACAACGAGGGGGGGGAGGGAAAGAAAGAAAGGAAAAGAGAAAAGGAAATTCACCCACACGGGCTCCACCCTGTTGGTGCCTGTGGGAGCTGGAGCTGGAGCTGGAGGCTAAGACTGGAGCCACAGCTGACAGAACTCCCAGCCTTCATATGAGCACTCCGCCTTGCAGAATGCACTAGGAAACCCTTCTCCCTTGAGTGCTTACTGTTTTCCTAATTTCTTAGACAGCATTGGAGGGAAAGGAAATCCTGCCCAAGACCCTCCATCTGACTTTGTCTTTGACACCCCAGCTCTGCGTCTCCTATAAGGTCTCAGACCATGACCAAAATAAGCCCTTTCTCTTCTATATATATTTATATATAAGTTGCTTCTGTCAGGAATTCTGTCGCAGTAGTTAGACAAGCATGGGAGACCCCCATGGACCAGTGTGACCTCTCCGAGCCAGGTAGGGAAGGGTCACTTACCGAATAAAACTCAAGTGGACACCAAGTGAGCGGTGGGACCCTGAGCAGTCAATGCAAAGGAACACCCCATAGGTTATGCTTGCCCAGCTGGGATTTTTGGCACCGCAGTCGAAGCACACCTGGAAGAAAAACATTGGATGCAGTTAGTGATTAATTTCTATCGCCAGATAAGTCAACCAACAGGATACAGTACATGGCTGTACAACCTTTACACTTTAGACTTTGGCTGTGAGAAAGCGTCACCAAGGGGCTGGGGCGACGGCTCAGTCAGTAAAGTGCTGGTCTCGGGACCTGAGTTCAGTCCCAAAAAGCCAGGCATGGTGGCATGCTGCCGAGGAGGGAAGAGAGGCAGGCTCCTGGGGCTTGTCGGCCAGCCTGCCAAACCTACTTGGCAAGTTCCAGGCCAGTGAGAGACTCTGTCTCAAAGAAACAAGGTAGATGTTATCTGAGGAATGATAGCAGGGAAGGTTTTTGGTCTGCACACACGTGCACATGCATCACAATCATGTACACACACTTGTAAGAAAGAGAAAATATGTCACCTAAGTTTTCAAAACTCGCAAATTTCAATTTCTTTTATAGTAATAATAGAACTACACTGTTGTTTTTAATATAGATTAATACATTAATGATGCATTATTATGTAGATGTTTTAATACCATGCACTCTGCACAGCGAGGAGAACTCAGGTCTGTAAGCCATCTTGAGCACGCTTATTTTTGAACCCTCAGTGGGACCCTAGGACATAAAAGGATGCCAGCCAGGAACGTGGCTGCTGGACTCTGTCCCTTCCCATCATCTGGGCAGCGGCTACATCTCACATACAGGCTCCTGGGCATGATTCTTCCCCCTCTACCAGAGGAAAAGGGTGCACTGACTGACTGGTCCACCGCCACCCCAGTACTCATGGCCTTCTGCACCCTCTGCCTCACTTTACCAGGAGCTGGTTTGTTTGACAAGCAGAACGAGGTGGAAGGGATAGCTTTTCACTTTTGAGATCAGGCTAAAAAGACACCACGGCCTTCCCTGCACTGGGTTACTACCTCTGGATGAAACCAGCTACAGTTTCTCAAGGACACTCACACCGCCCTGTGGAGGCTCAGATGACAGGAGCCGAAGGAGGCCCTAGTTTAACAGCTAGTGGGGAGCGGAGACCTGGCCTCCCAATGAGGGGGTGATTGCTCAGATGATGGCAGGCTCACCACAGACATGAGACAGGCAGTGACATCACTCCCCACTCTTGACCTCAGAACCCATGTGGGCAAACACGTCCCTTGGTGGAAGATACACAGCAACAGATAACACGATATTCCTTCTCCCCAACCCTTCCCACCACGGGTCACTTTGAGAACTGTTAGACACTGGGTCACAACTGCAGAATGTGTCCTCTACTCAGCAGGCACTGACAGTTCACAGGGCTGGACCTTTCCTGCCACCCACTTTCTTTATCAGCACAGAGCCTGTGCGGGGGAGATGGTCAGTGCTGGCTGAATAAATCTGGGTATTTATCCCCAACTGAGTCTGAAAAATAGCCCTTTACCCAACCAGCTTATTGTCAAAAATCATCAAAATCATCGAGACTCGTTGCCAGACCCTTCAATAATGACAATGAAGGAAAAACACTTCCTCTGATAAGACATGTACAAATGTACTTAAAAGCACAGTGTTGCCAGCAAAGCAGCTCAGTGGAGAAAGGTGCCCGCTGCCAAGCCTAGCGACTTGAGTTCAGTCCCTGGAACCCACACAGTGCAAGGAGAGACCTGAATCCTGTAAGTTGTTCTTCGACCTCCATGCGCAGGCCAAGGAATGTACACCGTGGCACAAGTACCACCACCACACAATAAATACATACACAGTACTTGTCACAGAAGTTAGTATTTATAGTTAATCCAAGTCAGAATAACAGCTGCAAAACTCCTACATAGAAAAATAGTCTTTGAATTTTTTTTCCAGAAAACCCCGTATTTTAGATATACTTTATAAGGTAAAAACCATCATCAGGCAAGAGCTGACTTCTGGACCAGAAGAGGAAGACAAGGGAGAAGGTACTGGGCTCCCGCTGGTCAGTGCCACTGGGTGTGGACTGACGACATGCAGGGAGTGGTGACTCACTCTGGTGCTGACTGACAACCTGCTACGTGTCTGACAGTGTGACTGGAGTCTAAGTACAGAGGAGAGGATGGCATCAGAGAAGACACCCATACATACTGAGCCCTACTCCCTGGCAAGGCAACACTCTGGGCTCTGAGGAGTCATTGTGTGGTGGAGAGAAGTACACAGACATTACAATGCACTGGGGCAACAGCCTGCAAAGTGAGGCGCGTCTTCCATGGGGCGCTGAGCAGTGCTCCCTCACCTGGTGCTGCTGTGCGCCTCGTAGCCTGTGCTGTCCAGCACAAACAAGTGCCCCTGGTCTCCACAGTCTACTGGGAAAGCAACCTGCTATATGATTGTATAGTCTTAAATATTTATTTTTATGTATAAATGTTTGCCTGCATGTATGTGTGTGCACCACATGTGTGCCTGGTGCCCAAGAGGCCAGAAGAGGGCATCAGGTCCCCTGGAACTGCAGTTAGAGGAAGTTTTGAGTCACCATGTGGATGCTGGGACCTGAACCCAGGTCCTCTGCAAGAGTAGCCATTGCTCTTAACCACGGAGCCATCTCTCCAGCCCCAATCGCATGGCTGTATGTTAGCAAGTAAGGAAGGGCATAAAAGGTTTCCTACGTGGAGTTAGAGGCCACTGGTGTCTAATGAACAGGAGCCCAAAAGGTCAAAGCAGCAAAGGCCTGTGTGGGATGTGGTCTTGGTGGGGGTGACAGCTGAGTTTTGGTAAGCACCCCTTCTGAGGTGGTCACAAGGCTGGAAGACAAAGAGCAGTGACTGGGCGAAGTGACGTAGGCCTGTAATCCCTCAGAGGCCAAGGCCAGAGGACCACAAGTTGGAGGCCAGCCCGAGTAATTTAACAAGGGCTCGTGTCTCAAAATAAAAAACGCCAAAGGCTGAGATGCAACTCCATGGCAGAATACTTCTCTGGCATGAGTGAGGTCCTGGGTTCAATTCCCAGTACAGGAAAAAAACAAACCAGGTAACAGCAGGTTACCAACATGACAGCAACCCCATCCGACAACAAAGCTGGGGAGATGTTATAAATGTTATAACTATCTGTAGAGGGGCAGGGTCTGCAGCTCTCTTGTTCGCCTGGCACAAACTAGGCACTAACAGACAAACACAGGAGGAAGGGCCATTTTCAGGATGGGGCCAGAAGAGGGCACTGGATCCCCTGGAACTGGAGTTAGGGAAGGTTGTTAGCAGTGAGAACCCAGCCTGGGTCCTCTGCAGGAGCAGTATGTGCACTTAACCGCTGAGCCGGCTCTCCAGCCCCACTTCATCTATTTTTGATCCTCTACACTGCAGGCTCCACCTACAGGTGTACAAGCCCTTGGGACTGTAGCAGTCTGTGTAAGGAGCAGCACAGCACATGGAAGGATTTCACAATGAGAACATTTGAGCTGAGACCCTTGAACCAAAGCAAACTGTCATCACACATAAGAGGAAGAAACTGGATTCTGTATTCCCAAAGTAAAGTCATCAGTCTGTTTTCCTTTATATATTAGGGCTTTTTACACACAAGCACACATGCAGGCACATCTTTTTTGTTTAAAAACAAAGTCTCAGGTATCTCATGCTGGTCTCAAACTTACTATGTAGCTGAGGATGACCTTGAACTCCTGATCGTCCTGCCTCCACCTCCCAGGTGTGCCCACCACATTAGACCTACAACCCTATTTTTTTTCTTTTTTCAGGTTTACTTATAGGGTCATACTCTCACAACCTCAGACCAATTTTTACATATTGCAATTTTTATTTCATTTTTAATTTTTATTTTTGTGACAAGACCTTGCTATGCAGCCCAGTCTAGCCTTGAATGTGGCAATCCTCCTAACTTAGCCTAAGTATTTTTAAAAAATGTTAAGTCAGGCATGCTGACTTACTCTTATAATTTCCTCACCCAGGATGTTGAGGCAGGAGAACAGAAGAGTGTGAGGCTAGCCTGGGCTACGTAGACAGAACATATCTCAAAAACTGAAAAAGGAGCAGAAAAGGCAGCTCAGCAGCAAAGTGCTTGTCTAGCATGAGGCCCTAGGTTCAATCCCCAGGACTGAGAAAAAAAGAAAAACGCTCATGGTTGTTCAATAAGGTCATTAGTTTTCCTCTGTGTTTGGGTCATGGCCTCAGGCCCACAACTGCTGTGTGACATCACCAGAAAACACTTGGGCATCTCGCTTTATAAGTAGTATTACAGAATATAACATTTCCACAGATGTGTTCTTCAGACTAGAAAGAACAAGAATGCCTAACACCTATACAGGACTAGTGCATGACGGAGTTTTTCTTGGACCATCTAATCTAATCCTCACAATAATCCTTTTGAGTTAGATCTGGTTCACGCCCATATTTTCAGATGTGGAAAATAAAACAAAGTGATTAAGGATCTGCCTCAGTAAGGTGGTACAGCTAGACATAGTGGAGTCGGGAATAATTACATATGCACACTGTGTGTGTGTGTGTGTTGTTAAGGTATCATTTTGTAACACAGACTACCCAAAAACTTAGTATGTAGCCCAAGCTGGCCCTTTAACTAGTGGTAATCCAACTGCCTCAGCCTCCCAAGCACTAGGATTACAGGTGTGTACCACTACGTCCAACTGGACAATAATTACTTTCTTACATGTAGTCTGCTGGCCTAGAATTTGCTATGTAGCTGAGGTTGCCCTTGACTCCTGACCTTCCTGCCTTCACCTCCACAGTGCTGGGATTATAGGCATGGACCACCAAGACCAACTCAATAATCTTAATATGCAAGCAAGTCCCCATGGGCTCCTTCAAGGGGTCTCTTGCTGTAATGACACTGACTTTTTATTTAAAAAGAATACCTTCTGATGAACTCAAAGAAAACACGATGTGGTTTAGAGATAAAGCAGATGAAATATATACCTATTTTTTTTCCACTCTGCTAACTGTATTATTGTGTAGTACTCAATACACACAGATCAATCTAAACTTGAAATTCAAGAAAACAGTAATGAAAAAAGTTAGGATGGTGGGCGGGGTGTGGTGGTGCACGCCTTTAATCCCAGCACTTGGGAGGCAGAGGCAGGTGGATCTTTGTGAGTTCGAGGCCAGCCTGGTCTACATAGTGAGTTCCAGGACAGCTGGAGCTACAGGGAGACCCTGTCTCAAAAAGCCAAAAAAAAAAGAAAGAAAGTTAAGATGGCTCAGCAGTTAAGAACACTGGCTGCTCTTGCAGAGGACCCAGGTTCAGTTCCCAGCACCCATTTGATGGCTAACAACCATCCATAACTCCAGTTTCAGGGAATCCGATGCCCTCTTCTGACATCTCTAGACACTGCATGACATAGGTGCTCTTATATACATGCAGGCAATACACTTATACACATACAATAAAAAATAATAAAAATAGAATATTTCAAAAAGAAAATAGTAGGGCTGGAGAGATGGCTCAGCAGTTAAGAGCACTGAATGCTCTTGCAGAGGACCCAGGTTTGATTCCCAGCACCCACATGGTGGCTATGAACCATCCTTAACTCCAGTTCCAGGGGAATTCAATGCCCTCTTCTGACCTCCACAGCACTGCACGACACGGGTGCATTCACACACATGCAAGCAATACACTCCTACACAAAAAAAAAAGAAGAAAAAGAAAATAGTAAAGTGATGTGCAGGCAACAGTGTGTGCAGGCCTTCCCCTCCTTCTTACAGACATTATTATCCCCAATAAACTGCTTCCCAAAATAAGGGCTCCCTTCTACCATCAAGACTTGAACCATGGAGGCTGGAGAGATGGCTCAGTGGTTAAAGCATACCCAAGTTTGGTTCCCAGCACCCATGTCAGGTGGCTCACAACTGCCTGCAATTCAAGCTCTAGGGGATTCCAAGCCCTTTTCTGGCCTCTGTGAGCAACCACACACAGGGGCACACACACACACACACACACACACACACGATAAATTTTTTTAATATTTTATTATTTTTATGTGTATGTGTGTACTGCATGTAGGTAAGTGCATCCAGGTCATGCACTGCTGGCAGAGGGCAGAAGAGGCTGTCAGATCCCCTGGGACTGGAGTCATGGACAGTTGTTAGCTGCCATGTGGATGCCGGGATTCAAACCTGGGTCTTCTGCAAGAACAACCAGTGTTCTTAACTGCTGAGCCATCTCTCCAGCCCACAATAAATTCTTTTTAAAAAAGACTTAAAACACCTGAATTCTGTAAAAGCTCAGGAACTTTCTATGACGTCTCTTTAGGACTCATGGTTATTCCCACTAACAGGTATTTCCTTTGAGGTGATGGTGGAGACCAGGCTGAACTGTAGGAAAGGTGGGGAGAGTCCACAGTGACACAACAGCCCTTTGTACTCTCCAGGTTCCACCCTACCCCCATCATCCTCAGGGAAGTTGTCACCTTAACCCAGAGCATCAATCACAACACTGCCAGCCACATGCTAAAAGTTGTGAAAGTTACCAGGTGGGGGTGGGGTAGGAGGCAGCACTTAAGTGACACAAAAATGTGGTAAGGAACCTCAATCTCCAAAGAGAAGAAAGTGAAAAGGTCTGTGCTGGGCTTCCTTAGGAACACAGGATGCTGGAGGCTTTGGCGGAGAACACTTAGCAACTTTGCTAGACTGGGAAACAGGCTGCCACGGAACCAGGCTCCAACAGGTTCCCCTGAAGAACATTCAAGACGAGGTCCATGGTGGGGAGAACCCAGCACTACTAGATGGACTTCTGCCTCCTGGATCTGGAGTATACTGTGATGTTCACACCCTAAATCATAGGAACCTCAGTGTATGTTCCCAGCCTTCTTAGAGCCCTCAGAGAACTGACACATTTCCACTCCCTGCTTCCTTCCACACCCATGTGCTCCTGGGTAAAGGGGCTCTGGTGCCAATCATGCGCACCCCCAAATGTCCTTGAGCCAGTCCTCTCTCTGAGCCCTCAAGTGATCTGGCCTCTGGTCCTGGACACCTCCAGATGCCCAAGTCCCAGCCCTCTGCTCCCAGATGCCTGACCTGGGCACCCCCAGATCCCACGCCCCAGCCCTCTCCCTGCCACCCAGGTGGTGCTCTGGACCCCGGGTGCGGTTCCGCCCCGGTGTGCCCCCTCTCGCCCCGGCTAGATTAGGGCGGGGATCCGCGCAGGCAGGAGCGGCGCGGCGAGGCGCGGCTGCCGGGCCCACAGTGCGACGTGTCACAGGCCGGGCGGCTCCTCCTCCCACGGCCGCGGCCACAGGCGGGGTCCAGCGGGCCGCGCGGTCCCGAGTCCGCCGAGCGGCCGTTACCTTGTTCGTGGGCACCGAGCGGAGGCGCTTGAAGATGGCCAGGATGTCCTGCTTGCTGGGGTCCCCCATAGTCGTCGAGGGCCGAGGAGCAGCGGTCCCGCACACCGGGAAGAGCCGCGGAGCAGCGGTTGCCGCCTCCCGGAGACCTATGGACGCGGAGGGGGCGGGGCTGCGCGTGACCGCCCACAGGTCCCGCCCCCGCCGCGCAGGCCCCGCCCACAAACTGCGCACGCGCCCTTCTCCTACCCTCGCTGGCCCCACCCCCTCTGTATCCACCAGGTCCGGACCCGGAAGGCGCATGCGCCGGCGCTCCTCGTCCCTTTCAGGCCTTCCTCCTGCGACGTGGGGCGGAAGCCTGGGCTTCGGTGCGCATGCCCACGGGGTTCTCTGGGTGGCCTAGGTCTTCGCACGTGCTTCGCATGAGCTTGGCACAGCCTGGAGAGGAAGAGAAGGCGGGGAGAACCGGCGGGGACTCAGCCCTCGCTGATTCCCCTGGTGCCCTTAAATTATTTTTAAAATATTTTCTTGCCCGGCGTGGTGGCGCCCACCTTTAATCCCAAGTGCAGAGGCAGGCGGATCTCTGTGAGTTCAAGGCCAGCCTGGTCTACATAGTGAGTTCCAGGACAGCTGGGGCTACAGGGAGACCCTGTCTCAAAAAGGCAAAAAAATTTTTTTTCTTTATTATTTTTATTTCATGTGTACGAATGCATTGCTTGCATGTATGTAAGTGCTCTCATGTCGTGCAATGCGCACGGTGGTCAGAAAAGGGCATTGGATCCCCTGGAACTGGAATTAAGGATGGTGGTTAGCTGTCACGTAGGTGCTGGGATTCAAATCCCAGTCCTCTGCAAGAGCACTGCATGCCCTTAACCATTGAGCCATCCATCCAGCCCCACCTTCAATTATTATTACTATTATTTTTTGGTCTTTTTTTGAGACAGGGGCTCCATGTAGCACCAGCTGGCCTGGAACTCACAGAGATCCGGCTGTCTCTGTCTCCCGAGTGCTGGTACTAAAGGGCACATGCCACCACACTGGGCTTACCTTCAATTATTTTTAAAATATTGTTTTTATTTTATGTTTATGAGTGTATTGCCTGCAAGTATATAGTGCTCCCGTGCCCTGCAACGCCCACGGAGGTCAGAAGAGGGAGTTACTGACAGTTTCTAGCTGCCATGTGGGTGCTGGGATTTGAACCCATGTTCTCTGCAAGAGCAGCCAGTGCTCTTAACTGCTGAGCCATCTCTCCAGCCTTCTTTCCATTTTTATTCTCATTCTCAGTGAATCCCAGGCCCTCCACTGAATTCTGTGCTGAAAAACTGCTCTCTTGCTCTTGAATTTTCTCCCCCTCCTCCGTATGAAGCCCAGGCTAGCCTAGAAGTCACTATATAATCCAGGTTGGCCTTGAAGTGGCGATCTTCCTCCCTCTGCCTCCTGGGTGCTGGGATTACAGCATCACCCCACACAGGCTTCGTAATCTTGTGATTTCAGGTGTCTGTCAGTGGAGAGACAGCAAGAGGTTCTGGATCAGAGAAGTTTAGAAAGGCCAAATGTGTGACTTTTTAGCCCGTGAAGCCAGGCTTCATCCCATCCTTGGACAGTATTAATAGCCAGAAAGTTTGAGCTTGGCAGCAGGTGTCGCAGTGACAGGGGTGAATGCGGAGCAGCTGGCAAACATGGCCTCAGGTGCAGCACAGTAGAACAGGTTTTGGAGTCAAGTGTGGTGCCCCAGCATTTGTCCCAGTTCATCTGGCTGCCTCCCAGCACAACAGTGCAGCCAACATTACAATTATTTGAACAAAAAGCCTGACTCTTTAAATTATTGAGTGGGCCCAAACTCTGAGGACACTCATTCCCCAGTCTGTGCCCCGGAACTGAGCTGCTGGAACTGTGCCTGGAGCTCTGGCCCTAGAACTGTGTCTCTGGAACTGTATCCTTGAGTTAGGCCCTACCGGTAATTTTTATTCAAACTGGTTTCTCCAGCTTCAATGGAGGAAATACAAGCTAGAATCCACCTTTAGTTTAACAGACAATCCTGCCTTCCCATCCCTAGTTGTAGACTATCTCATGCATCCAAGGTCCAGCTTCCTCCCCAACACAGTGTGTTCAATGAACATGGGGTGCTGTCTTTCAGTGCTTTAATATCTTAATTCGCGAGCATACTCACATTCATTCATTATCTTTTTTTTGGATGCAATGCCAAACTGAGGTTTCCAAGGTTAATTAAAAGGTCTTAAGTCTGGAGGGTGGGTTCTGACCTCCATCGGTGTAGTGGCTGTGATCTCAGCAGACCGCCAGAGAGTGCTGGATCTTGGCCTCCATCTGGCATGGGGCTGAGAACACAGCAGACCAACTGAGAGTCCCAAAATCCACCCCTCTCTTAGGAAATTTCCCAAATTTTCTCCAAGTTCCTGATAATAGGGGTCCAAACCTTACAAGGAAGCCTGAGTGTACCTGACTGGAACCTGACTTGGGGTTCTGTGGGTGCTCCTGGATAGCTGATATGAAGCCATCAGTTCCCTCCAAAATAAAACCTGAGAAAACCTGAAACCTGTACCAACCACCTTTACATATAAGGAAAGGACCTACGCACCCTGATAATACAAACAGAAGCATACTTCAACTTAATTCTCATATCAGCATCATAAATTATCAACAAAAGAAATTCACATGCCAAAATCGCAACAAAAGAATAATAAAATGGAAAGCCAAAACACTATGTCCCCACCAAACTCCACCAGTCCTGTATAAAAGTTCTACAAGAACAACCCCCTAGAGATAACCCAGGACACTGAATTTAAAAGAGCAATCATGAACATGATCAAGGAATTCAATGAGTTTAAAGAACACACGAACAAACAAAAAACTAAAAGAAGATAGGGATAAACTTCTGAAGGAATTCACAAAAGATAGAAACATTGAAGAAAACTCAGGCTGAAATGAAGAAGGAAGTGCAAAACTCAATAAGCCAACCTGAAAAACAGGGGACAGCCTCACGTCTAGAATGAATGAAATGGAAAAGAGAATATCAACACTGTAGGATAAAGTTGAAGAACTGGACTGCTCAAGCAAAGATTATGGAAAAATTTTTGTAAAAAAACACAGGAATGGAATATGCAAGAGATGTGGGACACCATGAAAAGACCAAATCTACAGATCATAGGAATAGAGAAAGGAGAAGAATTTCAGGTTAATGGTGTTGACCAGATCTTAAACAGGATTGTAGAAGAGAATTTCCAGAAATTAAGGAAAGACATCCCCATACAGGAAGCACATAGAACACCAAATAGACAGGATCAAAAACGAAACTCCCCATGACACATCATAGTAAAAACACTAAATGTACAGAACAAAGAGAGAATACTGAAAGCAGCAAAAGAAAAACAAGTCACATACAAAGGAAAGCCCATCAGAATTACAGCTGACTTATCAGTGCAAACTATGAAAGCCGGAAGAGCCTGGACCAGGATATTTCCAGTTCTACATGACAATAAATGCCAGCCCAGAATACTATACCCAGCAAAATGTCTGCTACAGTTGAAGGGGAAAGAAAAATCTTCCATGACGTGAATAGCCTGAAAGAATACATGTCCACAAAACCAGCCCTTCAAAGAATACTTGAAGCAATACAGAGAGCAGAGAGAGAAACAACTACACCCTGGGGCAATGAAACATAATAAATAAAGGTACAATTGATGAAATACAAAATTAGACAGAGAACACAAAGAGCAATCAAAATGATGGCAACCAATACACATCTTTCAATAATAACCTTAAATATCAGTGGACTGAACTCCCCAGTCAAAAGACACAGGCTAAGTGAATGGATTAAGAAACAAAAGTCTCTTTGCTGTCTGCAAGAAACCCATCTCACCTTCAAGGACAGGCACTAGCTTAAGGTAAAAGGATGGGAAAGAATATTCCAAGCAAATGGCACTAAGAAACAAGCAGAGGTTGCAATTCTAATATCTGACAAAATAGACTTCGAAGTAAAACTAATCAGAAGAGATGAGGAGGGTCACTTCATTCTAGTCAAAGGAACAAATAACCAAGAAGATATTACAATCCTTAACATATATGCACCAAACTCAGGTGCACCCAACTTCACAAAACAATACTACAGGACTTTAAGACCCAGATTAATCCCAACTCATTAATAGTAGGGGACTTCAATACCCACTGTCTCCATTAGACAGGTCAACTGGACAAAGAATAAACAGAGAGCTGTCTGAATTAAATGATACCATACATCAAATGGACCTAACAGACATCTTTCGAACATTCTACCCAAGCACCAAAGAATACACTTTATACTTAGCACCTCATGGAACTTTTTAAAAAGTTGACCACATACTGGGCCACAAAACAAACTCAACAAATACAAAAAAATGAAATAATTCCATGCATTCTATCGGACCACAATGCAATAAAGCTCAAAATCAACACTGGACAAAGCCCTAGTCACTACATGAACTTGTGATGATTAAACAACACACTCCTAAACAGTGAGTGGTCAAGTGAGAAATTAAGAAAGAAGTAAAAGAATCCTGGAATTCAACGAAAAGGACAATACAACACAACACACAGGAACACTTTAAAAGCAGTCCTAAGAGGGAAGTTTATAGCTCTAAGTGCTTACATTAAAAAATTAGAAAGAGGGGCAATAAATGACTTAACATTGCAACTCAAGAAACTTTAAAAGCAACAACAAATGGAACCCAAACCCAGCAGACAAGAAGAAATACCAAAAATCAGAGCAGAAATTAATGAAATAGAAACAAAGAAAACAAAACAAAGAATCAATGAATCCAAGAGCTGGTTATTTGAGAAGATAAACAAGATTGATAGACTGCTAGCCCAGTTAACGAAAGGAAAGAAAGAGCACCTCCAAATGAACAAAATCAGAGCTGAAAGGGGAAATATCACAACAGACACCAAAACCTCCCAACTAAAAAAAGCCCAGGCCCAGATGGATTTACAGCAGAAGTCTATGAGACATTTAAAGAAGACCTCCAACCAATACTACTTAAACTATTCAAAGTGATAGAAACAGAAGGAGAACTCCCAAATTCCTTTTATGAAGCCAGCATCACTCTAATACCCAAACCGGGTAAAGACACAACCAAAAAGGAAGACTATAGACCCATATCCTTAATGAGCATAGATGCAAAAAATTGCAACAA